ATTCCCATTTTTGTCTTTCTCACCTAATCCTTACCCAATCCAAAAAAATGGTTTTAAATAGACATAACCTTACCTCAACGCAATGTCCTAACCCTTGGTCTCCATCCACCATACATCCCACCTCAAATATGATTTTAATTAATACATCACTTAACCATGACCACTTTTTCCTGCCCTAAAGTCTCAGTGTACTTGATTTCTCTTCACCCAAAGCCTTCATCTTAAATGTCTTTTCCCCAATAAAATACAGGTCTTAAACATTTCTTATATAATATTAATTGTTTACCCTGCCCGTACCATTTTCCATTAACTTACAGGAAGAGCGGTTTATCTCTGTTTATTGCCTGAGTCCAGATTAATAAACCTTTAAATGTTAAATAATAACCTTCCCTTTATCCCACTCACCCTATCAAATGAAACTTTATTGCCTTTTACATCAACCTATGTAATAAACTTTACAACAGTTCTTAACTAATATTTGAATTCAAACATTGCTTTTCATGTTAAACATTATTCAATATAAACCTTTTGATGTCTATGGAAGAGTTGTTAGTGGAAAGTGTAAAAAGAACATCGGAACTTGATGTACCTAAGTATTCAATAACCTACTTACAGAAGCCAAATCCCTTCACTGAAGAGGTTGATGTATAAAAAAATACTTGCTATCATTTTGCATTCTTCAGCAAAAAAAAAAACTTGGCGAGAGAGTCCTTAACAAATGTGACTTTAAAAATTGTTTATATAAGAACTAGCATAAAAGATCTTGCTGTGTTTAAGACTTAGTACATTCTAAGTTTAAGAAATATTTAATAACCTTTTGATTTTTCAGATCAATCAGAAATTGAATAAGGATTTATTGTAGCCGTGCTTTTAACTCTAAAAGAAGAATATCTTTTCAGAAAGAACATTTCTCTTTAGCTTTGTACATTAAAGTATAAATAAATAATTGCATAAATTTACACAAAACAGATCTTTATATTCCTTGCAGAAAGTGAGGTGAACCAGTGGAACATTGAAGATGGCAAAGAAATACAACATTATGTCTATTTTGCTGATTATGTTACCATGGCTTCTCCTCATCAGTGTTTGGCAACAGAGCAATATCACATCTGTCATTTTTTCTCAAAAAGGTAAATATCAATGTTTGGTTGATGCTTTTCAAGAATAAATTTTTCAAAATATATTATACTTACATTATAGGGTTGGTTGGTTCTGTAGCTGCCAGTTGAATGTATTGGTAATATCAGCTATTCCTCACAACCATAAAACACTTTGACACTTGGTTTGATGGAAAACAAAGCTGACAGGCTTCTCCAGCGTCTAAATCTCATTGCTTTTGGGCCCCTTTGTGTCACAATTTGGTTGAGGTTAGAGGACCCAAATCCAGAGGCTGAGAGGCAGGGGTGAGTGCTTGCAGCTTCTTTAATGATTAAACACAGGTAACAGAGGCAGAAATCCAAAAATCCAAATTAAAAATATAAAACAAACCAGAAGCATGGAGACATCAGGGGAAGACAATCACAAGGAGCCAGGGTAAGATGAGGTGAGAAGAGGTAAGGTGAAGTAAAATGGGAACCAGCACTGAGGAACTGCACAAGGAGTGTATTTATGTGAGACTGAACAAAGAGAGGACTAACGAGCAGATTAGGAGCAGGTGTGAACAGAGCAGAAAAGGATGAAGCTAGGGAAAGGAGACCAACACAAGAGGGCAACAGAGGGACACAAATAAAAATCTTAGAACTCAAATATATCCAGAAAATACAACAAAATATGAACCAAACCAACAAAACTAGAAAACATGGAGCAAAGTAAAACATAACAGAATCAAGACCTTGAAAATTTGTCCTGTGAGTCAAGGTGTGGGAAGGAGATAAAAGGTAGATGTGGAGCCAGCTGTGGAAATTATATTGACCCGAAGACTTTTTAGTCTGGTAAACTAGCGGTTTATCTGACAAACAGGCTAAAGGGCTGGTTATACTCCCACAGCAGTGTGTCGCAGTGAGCTTGTTGCAGGTATGATGCAGATATTTTATGATTTATGCCCAATTTTGAAGCGTGGTCTGCGCTAGGTTATTCCATGCCACAGTGCAAGAGGGACAATCAGGGAGTAGCTGTGGGTCTACATACGGCCAAGACCAAGGGTGCTGTACGGAGGAAAAGTTAAAAAGATTCTCAAGGCCCTTGACTGAGGCCGCAAAAGAAGAAGACAAGATCTGTCCTGCTATATTTTTCAAACATAAAAAGAAAATTCAGCAGTGAAATAAATAATTTTGTATTCTCCATTATTTTAAAGTAGTAAACAGCGTAACAAATTATGATATATTAACCAAAACCCCCTGTCCTGCAGTTCAGAGTTTGACTGGG